CAACCGAGCAATTCTGTGATTCTGTGATTTAATGACCAGATCTTCACCTGCTGAAGTGGTTTCTCAAAACAGTGGTATATCGTACTTGCTCAGATAATGAACAGACGTGAAGTAACCAACATCACGCAGTGGCAGTATTAGGCCACAGAAGACCTACAAGGAGAAGTCAGCCACCAATGGACAGATTTTTTTATCTGGGTTGCTTATACCTATTTTGCTTTAAATACCCCTTATTCGGATTGCTAGATACAGTTCATAGCCCTTCTGCTGTTTAATACAAGAATCAAAGGACTGTGGGTGGAGAAGAGTGTTTTTTCTTTAAGGTTTTGAAACGCCCAACTCAGACATTCAGAGAACTTTGTATTTGCAGTCCTTGTGCCCTTACAGGTTTCTCTTCCATATGGTTCTTTTCAGTATAATTGAGCCTAAATGCCTGTAACCCGATCACATTCTCATTACAATTTTTGCTACATAAACTGACCTTACAGATGATTTATGGCCATTAGGCTTTAGAGTACACGATTCAAAACTTCCAAGATATTTGGCACAGTATATAAATTTTGTCATTTATTTTGCATTAAAACTTAAATACTTGACTATAGTAAAATATAAGGTTCAGACCTGGCATGACATTACTTCTTTTAATCCTATATAATGCAGAGCTAACGGCTGTACAATCCATGCGTCCCTGCATCCCAAGGCAATCTCTTTTAAATACTGAAGGTCACATTCTCAGGCTGAAGTAAGAGCTATGAAAATCTACACAGTAGAAGCAATAGCTGAGAATTTAATGTGTGGCATGACAAGAGGTTGGATCCAAATAAGCGTGCAGACACTTCTTGCTGCACAACTAAGGCATTGTTAGTTTTTATTGTCCTTTTATGGCATCATAAAAGTCCTCAATGCCCTTCAGTGGGTAATGGGAAGAATGAGTGGTGGGAAAATAGCACTTTATGTATTTTTAGGCCAGAGAAATTTATGAAGTCTGCAGTTGATGACACCGAAACCAGCTATGAGTTAATATGTGTTTCATTCTGCTTTTTGCAGGTGCAAACATGGCCCGAGGCACAGATGCTGTAAACACTATGAAGATAATTGCATCTCGTACTGCGTTAAAGTAAGTGCAGAAGAAGTCAGCTTGACAAACTCTGGCAAAGATGGGGTAAAAGTCTTTAGTCAGAAAAAAAGCATATACTTAGGAATTGAGAAAGCACCCTGGTATTCATTCTTCTATTGAAAATGTAATGAGGCTGAAAACAGATTTTCTCAATTTAGGACAAGGCGGCATGGGGGGTTAAAGTTCAATGGTCTTTCAGATGAACCAGAGTGAATGAATAACATAAAACCTGTGGGAAAAACCTGGGCAAGCAAATGAGGAACTCATTGAACAATGTGGTGTGCTTCGCAGCTGAGCCCACTCGTGACAACACCCAAAATAAAGCACCTCCCTGGTTATTTTAAGGGCTCAGAGTAAGGAGAGATCGGTCCCAATTGCTGCACCCAGGAAGAGCTGTGTCTGGTGACATCATTCATCCTCCTTTATTCATGTGATCAGCACATTTTATTCCTTGTCAGAGGAGTCCTGTGCTGAGATTTGTTTTGGCTGGCGTTGGGTTGGCACAGGTGGCACCACCTGCTCTGCTTCTTTTAGGAGCTGGTAAGACTCCAGAAGATCTCAATCCCTTAATAATTTACCCATTTGTATATATGGAGCAGCAGAAATGGATTTGAGCATCTTCAGATGCTTTTGAGATGTATTAATTTCAAAAATAACTTTTTTCAATTGGAGTTTTATATACAGTTAATGTTCTCTCAGAAAAGCTATGCTTAAATTTAGCGTAAAAAGAGATCTAGCACAACATTTCTTCATATATGTTTATTAACAACATAATTTTGTGTTGTATTAACACTTTTTACACATTTTTACTAGCATAAGGCTGTGTAACATGGACATAAGTTGCGCTGGACTTGATAGGATTTGAGTTGGTGCATGAATGTTCTGCTGGATTACGATGAGAATATGCAGTATTCATAAATAGTTCGGGATCATTATATGATCCTTTTATGATCATTATATGATCCTTTTCTCCTGTAGGTATGACATATATTTAACAGAACCCAGATGAAAATGACAGTTTTACAACCTCTCGCTACTATCTCACCCCACTTAATGTTTTCTTCATGGGCTGTTCTTTTCTTCAAGATATAACATCTTTGGGACACAGCCTTTCCATTCAGTGCTTCCTGGCCACATTTGTCTCTCCCATCTCACTACAGTGAAGATTATATTAAAAACAAAGATTAAAATGAAGCAAAAGTTATTTTATGAGTTTATACACTGCATTTCCACATATCTGCTGGTGGTAGCATCTTCTAATGTGCGTCTTTTTCCATGGGTGCCTCGCTATAACTTCATTGCCTTTCATTACTTACATATATTTTACATTAATTAGCTCTTAACTACTGTTAGTCCAGACAGAGGAGAAGAAAACCCAACTTATAATGGAGCTGAACTAAGTCTTGACCTGACTAAAAATAATAATTGAAAAAAAAGACATTTTTATAAGGCTATTCTCTCTTTAGAGAAACCAGTTGTGCATTTGAACTGTACTTCATTCTTGTACCAGTGTTGTACAGTGTTTTAGTATAAATTATTCTTGACCACAGTAATATAATCAGGGAAATATCACTGAAGGGGCAGCCAGATCTTTGAATTTCCTGCCTTTTCTGTGACTTTTTTCAAAATAAAAAACATGAGCGGAAACATTTTTAAAATGTATTTGGATTTTTAAAGATCCAAAATTTTTAATGCATTTTCAGTTCTCTCCAGGGCTGTTCCTGGAGCCGATCAGTAGTGACTGCCAGCTGATGTGATTTGGGCTTATTTTTGTAATTTCTTCTCTGTAAGAGAGCTTTCAGATCTGATCATGATCTGATCAGCTGCTTATTGCCAGAATTCCCCTTACCCTTGAACATCTCATCTTCTCATTATCATATCTATGCTCTTAATTGTCATTACATGCTCTTCTCCACATTTAAATGCACGTTAGTGCATGATCCATGATAGCTTTTGTGTAACATTTAGTAATGATGTAGCACCTGATTTCATAGACTTCCCCTGAAATTTAAAATACTCCAAATACTTTGGGTTTGTGACTATCTGAAAGGATTTCCCATAAGCTGTCAAACAATATTGTTTTCCCATTTTGGATACCACTTGATGATGATGAGGAGACATTGGCCAACAGTCATAGGCCATTTTTCTGCACATGCCACCAGATGACCCTTGCAATTTATTTAATGACCAAAAAGAATATGAGATTATTTTCTGATGACTGTAATCTCTGCATTCTGCCTCTTGAAGGAACAAGGGCAACCCAGTATAAATATAAAATACCTTAACTAATTTATTTTAAATCTCTTAATTAATTCCTAAATCTATTGCAACAGGTTCACTGAGTTTTGGTATGTTACTGAACTCTTCATGTGCACACACGTGCTTTTCTGAAATTGAGTTACAGCCAGTATCTTGACTGTATTTTTAACATTTTAAGGAATCTGCTTCTCAAAAATGGGGGGAAAAAAAGAGGTTTATTCAATGAGTTTTGCAGAGATGGAGTTTTACTGTGCCACTGCTTCTGTCTGGTCTGAGTCTCAACTCAAAATCTCTGTAGAAAAATGGTTTTTAGCAGAGTCTGCTTTATTCAGTTATGTTTAGTAGTGTCCTGCATATACTCTGCTGTTCTCTACTCCTGTTATTATTTGAGGTCTTCTTATAGATGATAAAAGAGTTCACATGAGGGTACCTTGAATATACGTTAATCTTAATTTTGCCATTTTAACTACACAAAATTCACTGTACATTTGCATCTCTGCCCAAGTCTCATACATTTCATTATGCATTTCCAGTATACGATCAGAAAACATAGGTTACCTGTTCAGTACATTGAATTGACGTACCTTTAAGAGTAGCAAAGGAAGAAGTGGAAATTTTTCATTCATAGCTATTGGATCATTGAGTGGCACAACGTATTTTCTTCTACTTGATCCTCATAAACCACTTCTTGAGTAGCAGGGAGAGTAATTGTTTCAGCAAAAGTTTTATTACTGAATGTTTAACCACAATACAATTTAATGAGCTTTATGATAGATTATAAAGTTCCATAGGAGGCAAAAATGGTTGGGAGTTTCTGAGTTTGAAAGATTGCTCAATCAAACCAGTTATCCCTGTAAATGGTATTATTTTTCAAAAAATGAACTACAGAAATTGTGAGCATTGGGTATTATATTTTCCCATGGTGAGAGCATAGATAGTTTTCAGATAGGGCATTTTCCAGCCAAAAAATGGATAGATTTTATGCAGAATCATTAGAGAAGTTCAGCCACGGGGTAAGAATAATGATGGGAAGCTGTGGAGGGTACAGGAAACCAGGGAAAAGAATTTGGAAAGAAAATGTCACTGTGGTTTTGCGACATGGTATAAAAAAGCCAATCTGTATCCAAGGTGGAGCTGTAAGAAAAATTCATTGGAATCACAGAATATTAGGAGTTGGAAGGGACCTTGAAAGCTTCCCCAGTCCAACCCCTGCCAGAGCAGGATCACCCAGACCAGGTCACACAGGAACACGTCCAGGCGGGTTTTGAATGTCTCCAGAGAAGGAGACTCCACAACCTCTCTGGGCAGCCTGGGCCATGCTCTGGCACCCTCACAGTGACAAAGTTTTTCCTCATGTTCAGATTGAACCTCCTGTGCTCCAGTTTGCTCCCATTGCCCCTTGTCCTGGCATTGGACATCGGAGAGAAGAGCCTGGCTCCTTCCTCCTGACTCTCGCTCTTTCCAAATTGATCCCCATGAATGAGGGCACTCCTCAGTCTCCTCTGCTCCAAGCTGAAGAAACTCAGCTCTCTCAGCCGCTCCTCATCAGGAGATGCTCCACTCCCTCCATCATCTTTGTGGCCCTACTGGACTCTTTCAAGCAGTTCCTGTCCTTCTTGAACTGAGGGGTCCAGAACAGGACACAATATTGCAGATGTGGTCTGACCAGGGCAGAGTAGAGGGGCAGGAGAACTTCTCTGACCTACAACCACCCCTTCTCATACACCCCAGGATGGCATTGGCCTTCTTGGCTGCAAGGGCACATTGCTGACTTGTGGTCATCTGCTGTCCACCAACACCCCCAGGGCCTTTCCAGCCACTCATCCCCAAGCCTGTAGCGCTGCATGGGGTTATTGCGACCAAAGTGCAGGACCCGGCACTTGGCCTTGTTGAACGGAAGCCACGTTAACCGTTCTCAGTGGCTCTGCACTTGATTTCCCTTCCATTTTTCACCCTTCCTTTTGCTGCAGCCTCCAGTTGGCTTGAGGGAATGCACGTGAACACGTGCCAAGCCACCAGGGTTAATTTATTTCTCACACGTTCTGAATTTTTTTTTTTTTTGTGGTATTTTTTCCTCCTTTAGTGCTTTCTCCAGACATTTGAGCGTAGAAGTGCTCTTTATTTTTGACCGCATTGCTTCCCTCTCATAGCCATTTGTGGTTAAAAGCCAGTCGGCAATCTGGAAATGAAGTCATCGGGATTATTTCAAAGAGCAGAATTTTGGAGCAGAAGAGAAATAAGAGTTTGTCCCTTGAGGCCTTTCGGATGTTCATAGAAATTAAAGGAGAGTCAGTTGTCTCTGATTTTTTTGCCTTTGCTGTTTTGCAGGGGAATCAGGAAAAAAAACCCAAAACCAACTCATCTTGAGTTTGAGAATGGGGATGCATTTTACATAGTATCTGCAGAGTAGGTTGTAAACTGCTCGATGGAAGAAATAAGTAGATATTTTTGCTTATATTTTTTCCAAATTTGTGGTTTCTTAAGACAAAATCTTTCTTTCTTTTTCCTAGGGCTTCATTAGGATGTTTAGCATTGGTTACCTGATCCAGTGCTGCCTTCGGATTCCATCCACCTTCCGGCATCTGTTTACTGAACCATCCCGGCTACTTTCCCTCTTCTACAACAAGGAAAATTTCCAGCTTGGAGCTTTTCTGGGATCTTTCGTTAGTATATACAAAGTAAGTTTATAACATATAAATACCATGGTGTTTATTTCACTTTTCGGAATATCACAAAGAGCTAAAAAATCTGCCTGCTTGCATATTTACATAGTGATCTACCATCCTCATATTGAAGAACTTTTTCCTAATCTCCAACCTAAAAAATCTCCCCTTTTCTAGTTTAAAACCGTTACCCCTCATCCTATCGCTCCATGCCCCAGTGAACAGCTCTTCCCCAGATTTCTTATAGGCACCTTTCAGGTCCTGGAACGTCATTATAAGATCCCCCTGAAGCCTTCTCTTCTCCAGGCTGAACAACCCCAACTCTCTCAGCCTGTCTTCATAGAGGAGGTGCTCCAGCCCTTGGATCATCTTTGTGGCCTCCTCTGGACCTGCTCTAGCACTTCAATGTCCTTTTTGTGTTGGGGACTCCAAAGCTGGACGCAGGACTGCAAGTGAGGTCTGACCAAAGCAGAGGGGCAGAATCCCCTCCCTCCATCTGTTGGCCACACTTCTTGTGATACAGCCCAGAATGCATTTGGCTTTGATCTGCAGATGCACATTGGTGGCTCATGTCCAGCTTCTCATCCAACAGTGACCCCAGGTGAGAGGAACCTCATGAGGTTCTCCTGGGCCCACTTCTCCAGCTTGTCCAGGTCCCTCTGGATGCCATCCCTTCCCTTTGGCACATTAACCTCACCATACAGCTTGGTATCATCAGCGAATCTGCTGAGCATCTACTCAATCCTGCTGTCAGTATCACTAATGAAGATATTAAATGGCACTGGTCCCAGTACAGACCCTTGAGGGACACCACTTGTCACCATCCTCCATCTTGACATCGAGCCATTGGCCACTACTCTCTGGATGTGCCCATCCAGCCAATTCCTTAGCCACTGAACAGTCCACCCATCACATCCGCACCTCTCCAACTTAGAAGGATGCTGTGGGGGACTGTGTCAAAGACCTTGCAGAAATCTAGATAGATTACATCCATAGCTCTTCCCTTGTCTACTGATGCAGTTACTGATAGTATTTGCCACAGCACATCACCAACAAATTCTTTAGTATTGCAGTCATTGAATTGTAAATTAAAAATTAGTCTTCCATTCCATGTGGGTTCTTTTTTTCTATCATTTTTGAATAAACCAGATGGATTCTTGGTGTCAAGATCAGGGAGTACTTCAGAGAAAGTGAATTTTGATTTCAAAGGGACTTGGTGTTACACAAAAATGTTTTGGTGCAGACACAAGTGAGAGGATCCATTTACATATTTTTTTGCCTCAAAGATCTGGAATTCTTATTGACACTAAATAGCAGGATATTGCAGAACTTATATCACATGCAGCTGAGGAGATATTGCACTTACCACTTCGAAATCCACCCTTCTACACCGTTATTTGGTGACAGATTGCAAACTTACGTGATCATATGGCCTTGTTGGAGTTAACTGTATAAAGTTTATTTATGCCAAAAGAGAATGTGACCAAGCACACACCCAAGTGGAGAATCACATTGTGTAGTGCTGAAGTGGCTTTTGCCTTTTTATGTTCTTAATCACAACTGTCATTTTTCAACTGCTACTTGTTTTGCAAAGTTAAGTTAATTCTGTATTATTCAGGGTAAATATTACTTGCAGCAAATTAAAAAAGCAAGGGTTATTTGTAAGCAAAAGAGCATTTCACTTCGCTTGCAGTCAGATTGAGACACAAGAATTTTTAAGGTTACGGAGTTGAAAATTTGTGATGGCAAAGTGCAAAGTTCAGAGTTTATTTGAAAATTAAACTTTTGCTCAAACTTTAAGACAAGAGTCTGTAGAGAAAAAAGTATTTAAAGCAGAAATTATTTTAATTTCTTTTAAAAGCTCCAATTGCCAAGTAGAATTTAGTCCTATAGATACTCATGTTATGAGAGTGACCTACTCTGGCTTTTATTTATAGTTTATTAGGTTTAAAAAAATGCTTGATGCATTTTGAACCCAAAAGAATTCCATTATGGGCAGCTTTTCAAGGAAGTCCATCTTTGCCCTAAAATCAGTCTGAAGTACTGTTGTGGGATTGTTGTAGCTGTACTATTAATATTTTGTGTGCCCCTTACTTTTAATTAATGTCAACAAACATGAATTTGCAGAAAATAAGTTGGTTATCATCACCTGATTTCATTTTTTAAGTTAGTTTACAAATTGGAGTAGTAAAGTTGACTTACATAGTTGCAGTATATGAGAGGCTTATGAGAGAAATTTATTTATTTAAAATGTGTGCTCTAAAATAGCTACTGAGACCACGTCTGTGGTGCTGTGTCCATTTTTGGACACAGCCTTGACTTCACTTCTTCTTTTCATTTCAATGTCTTCTTCAAGACAATGTCTTCTTCATTTAATCACATCTCATTCTTCAAGACATTGCAGTACTGGAGGGAATCCACCTGAGTGCCACCATGATGGTTTGCGAACTGGGTCATTTGATGTGCAAGGAGAAGCTGGGAGAAAAGAAGGCTCAGGGGAGATCTTACTCCTGCCTATGCCTCTTGGAGGACAGCAGTGACAGGATGAAAGGCAATGGTCACAAGCTGAAACATAGGAGGTTCCAAAGAGGTGTAAGGAAATATGGTTTTGACTGGCCAAATATTGGGCCAGGCTCTCCACTGAGGCTGTGTAGCTCCTTGGAGGTGCTCAGAACTCAACTGGACAAGTTCCTGAGCTGTCTGCTATAATCACAGAATCATTAAGGTTAGAAGAGATCTCTAAGATCCCCAAGTCCAACCGTCAACCCAACCCCACCATGCCCACTAAACCATGGCCCCAGGTGCCACATCCATCACTTCTTGAACACCTCCAGGGATGGGGACTCCACCACCTCCCTGGGCAGCCCCTTCCAGTGCTTGACCACTCTTCCAGTCAAGAAATTTTTCCTCATACCCAATCTAAACCTCCCCTGGTGCAACTTGAGGCCATTTTCTCTTGTCCTATCACTGGTTACGTGGGAGAAGAGACCAACACCCACCTCTCTACCCTATCCTTTCAGGAGCTGCAGAGAGCAATAAGGTCTCAGTCTCCTTTTCTCCAAACTAAACAACCCAATTAGACTTGCTTCAGGCTGGAGATTGGACCAGATGATCCCCAGAGGTCCTTTGCAACATGAATTATTCTTTAATTCCCTGAAAAGCAAACATAAGATGCATGAAGAGTCTGACACACCTATCTCAAAGTGGACACCAGCAGTCTGTCATGCTGAATTACGTCACGTTGTCTCAGTACCATCAGCACTGGTTTGGGCAGATCTTGAACCGTTTAGAAGCCAATCAGGGATATTTTACCAGGGATAATATTTGGAGAAAATGTATTGATTTCCAAAACAGTTGAAAAATCAATGCAGAAGAGGTGGCAGATGTGGAACAGCCTCGATCACTTGGTAACCAGCAGTCACCCAAATGAAATATATTTTAATGCCGCTTAAGCCATAATTCCTTACACCCATTCTGGCCTGAGCAGCTTAACAGATAATAAACAGATTATTATGCATTTTACAGTGTCCTTTAATCATACGCAGTTCAAACTTCTTAGATTAATGTGTTTTCCTGCTTCCAGAATTTATTGGAAGTGTGGAAAAATCTCAAGGTGTTTGGTGTGTAGTTGAAGACAGACTTTGTCATGAGAAGGAGTGTACACAGCTACAGCAAATGACGATGATGTGAATTCAAGATTAGCTTTGGCATTAGATTGGTATTCAAATGAGATTAATTTGCTCTCTGATTTTGAAATAAATGATAGCAGTAGAGTGTTAATTAAAACTGAAATATTTTGGGTACGGTGGATTATGGGTGTTACCACACTACACTCTGAATTCATACTGTGTGCTATATTACTAACTTGTAGAGGAGTATCTCCAGTTTATGTGTTATAAAGGAGAAATAACAAGGGCTAATCCTTCTCTCTTCACTCTCAGGGTACAAGTTGCTTCCTGCGTTGGATACGAAACCTCGATGATGAACTTCATGCACTTGTAGCTGGTGAGTCCGTGACAAGAGGTAGATATTGCCTCTGTTGGGGCTGTGCAAATATTTCTCTTGTCTGTCCTCCCATGCCCTTTTCTCTGATAAAAATAGGATTGTAGACACCAAGACTGTGTTGAAGTGTTTCGAGTAGCTTCAAATAAAGAGCTGCAATTCAAATTGTAAGGCAAACTCAATCAAATGTTGTGGGTTTTTACGTTTGGCTTCAAGGACAATACATTAACATCTTTATCAATGATCTGGATGAGGAGATTGAGTGCTCCCTCAGCAAGTTTACAGATGACACTGAGTTGGGAGGGAGTGTTCATCTGCCTGAGGGTAGGAAGGGTCTGCAGAGGGACCTGGATAGGCTGAATCCATGGGCTGAGGCCAATTTGAGTTTGAACAAGGCCAAGTGCTGGGTCCTGCACTTTGGTCACAATAGCCCCATGCAACACTGCAGGCTTGGGGATGAGTGGCTGGAGCTGCCAGGCAGAAAAGGACCTGGGGGTGTTGGTGGACAGCAGGATGACCATGAGCCAGCAATGTGCCCTTGCAGCCAAGAAGACCAATGGCATCCTGGGGTGTATGAGAAGGGGTGGTTGTAGAGCAGAGAGGTTCTCCTTCCCCTCTGCTCTGCCCTGGTCAGACCACATCTGCAATATTGTGTTTAGTTCTAGGCCCCTCAGTTCAAGAAGGACAGGAACTGCTTGAAAGAGTCCAGCAGGGCCACAAAGATGGTGGAGGGAGTGAAGCATCTCCTGCTGAGGAGCGGCTGAGAGAGCTGGGTTTCTTTAGCTTGGAGCAGAGGAGACTGAGGGGTGACCTCATTCATGGGTATCAACTTGTATAGGGCGAGCATGAGGAAGAAGGAGCCAGGCTCTTCTCTCCAATGTCCAATGCCAGGACAAGGGGCAATGGGAGCAAGCTGGAGCTTAGGAGGTTCAACCTGAGCATGAGGAAAAACTTTTTTACTGTGAGGGTGCCAGAGCATGGCCCAGGCTGCCCAGAGAGGTTGTGGAGTCTCCTTCTCTGCAGACATTCAAAACCTGCCTGGCCGTGTTCCTGTGTGACTGCTCTGGTGATCCTGCTCTGGCAGGGGTTGGACTGGGGGAGCTTTCGAGGTCCCTTCCAACTACTGACGTTCTGTGACTCTGTATGCACAAATGTGAACTTGTCCTTTATTTTCCAACGGTAGAGGTGTGAGGGTCAAACACTGACTCTCCCATATGTGACAGAATATGCATTCGAAAGGATTGGGCTCCACTGAATCCCAAGAGGGAACCTTTTGCCATGAAATTTGGGTGGTAGTGCTGGCCCTTCCCTGCTGGTTGTGTCTCTAACACGGATCAGAACTTCAGAGGCCCCTCATATTTGTGGGATTTATTGCTGTACTCCTGAGCACTGAACCACCAATTTATTTCAGAATTTCAAAACTTTTTAAAATGAAAAAACATATTTTGATGGGCAGGAATATCACAACTTTGTTGAAAGCATCATCTTATGTGGTGTCTGTCAAGCTGCTATGGTGCAATCTTAACAATACTTTTGTTTTCTAATTGTTTCAGGGTGCCTAGCAGGGATTTCGATGATGTTTTACAAAAGTACTACTATCTCTATGTATCTGGCATCCAAATTAGTAGAGGTAAGATATTAACCTCAGAATTTCCTGTATTTTTTGAAGGCAGGAGAAGAAAATGAACCTCACAGGCATTATCAGATAATTCCCGTGGAATAGTAAGTGTGGTGGTGGTGTATTTCAGTAGGCAGTGCCGTTCTGTGGTCTCATTTCTTTCTTATTTTCCTTTCTATGATTCATTTAAAAATTCCTTTATCCACTGGTCTCCCTGTATATTCTCCATTATTTTTCTTGATCTCCTGATAGCCATTTGCTTTGTAGCTTTTGCAGATTTTGGAGTCTGAAAGTTCTGCCAGAAACATAAATCAAACCTAGTCCTTAATTGCAGATTTATTGCCAAAAGCTACAGCTTAACTTCCTGCCTTTGTTCCCTAATTTTGGCGCTCAGCAGTCTGAGATAGCTCAAAATAGCTAGGGTTTTAGTCTATAGCTGGTGGTGTTTGTCAGTCTACTTCAACTGATCCAATTCCCAGCTTTGCAATGAACTTCATTCCAATTACTATTATTTTTCAGGCTTGAATTATTTCTCTGAACTTGTTAAAATTGTAAATAAAACACCACAGTTTGTAGAGTTTGGGTATGTTAATTATATTTTACAAATCAGCTTTTTATTTCTTCCTGTCATTTTTCCATAAAATCGGGACTTAGTCACGGTTATTTCCCCGACAGCACCACTGGAATAAATTGAGAGCATTCTCGTATTATGCATCACCCCCAAATCACAATTTTAATTATTTTTTAAGCAGGAGTAAAATTTGGAGAAAACGTATGGATTTTTAAAGCATAAAATGGAACATAAAAAGGGAAGATATGCTCTGTGTACTCTTGCTCCTTGGAATCTTAGATCAAGCTCTGAAGGTAGATCACATATTAAATATAAAAAATATAAAAGCAAATTTATAAATATATAAAGCAAATTTTAGAAATGTATAAAATATAAAAGCAAATATAAATGTTATATAAAAGCAGCTCGGAGTTACCCATATTGACTTTCACACCACCAGTTGTGAAAAAACAACATTATCTTGTATTGCTGATGGTTTTCTCTGGACTTTGAGACATTGTGGCTGTAGCGAACTAAGAAAAGTGCTGTCTGCTCTTTTTCTGTGTTGTATCTTTTTTTGTTTTTTCAATTTTTTTACTACTTTTATCATCTTACACAAGCCAAGGGTAACTGCCCAAAGAGGCGTGTGCTGCTTTGCAAGGTCAAGCTGTGCTCAGGAAAATAAACTTCCCATGTTTTCTCAGAAAGGAAAGTATGCGATTTCAAGCTGTTTAAGAGCAGCGAATATTCACTTTGTTGGAATAGTTATTGCATTGTTCTTTGGCTTTTTTAAAAAAAGAAGGATTTAACATAGCAAACTTTCCCTTTAGGATCCACATTATCCTTTTAACACCAACGCTAAATACTGTTCTATACATTAACAGTCTCTGATTCTCTTGATTTTGGATAACTTTTATCATTATCTTAATCAGTGTCACATTTGTGGACATATACAAAAATATATGAGGTAAAATAAATTATTTTTTTAAATTTTTACAGACTATATACTTCAAAGGCATTGAAGCAGGGAAGGTTCCCTATTTTCCTCACGCGGACAGCATCATCTATGCCATTTCTACGTCAATATGCTTTCAGGCAGTAAGTACGTTGTCTTTTAACAGAAGAATTGGTAGTTTAAGTCAAATAATTAAATTAAATGAAGTGTACAGAAAAGAGAGCCCAAGTCTGCAATTAGATTGCTAGGTTACTGAGGGGGAAATTAGCAACGGGATCTATGCTGAGATGTTTGTTACTCGCTGTATCCATAAGTGACTTGGAAAAGTAATGGAACAGAGAGAAAAGAGGGAGTTGGTTATATCACGTTATTTAAAATATGTAACACAAATGTCATGGTTTAGGGCTGGGCTGGCCACTAAATCCTGGACATACGCTCTCTATTAACTCCTCTCCCCAGAAGGAGATTGAAGGAGAATAAGGGAGAGAGACTTTATGGGTTGGAAAAGAAAACTAACAGATTTAATGAAACAATAATACTAATAGTGCAGGATAATAATGTAAATAGGAAAATAATGAACTATATACAGATATGTACAAATATATATACAAAACCAATATAAAATCCTCCACCAATGACGATTCTGTCACTCAAGGCTCTGGGAGCAGAGTACTGGAGAAGTCCCAGTTCGGACCCAGCAGCAGTGGCAGCTGATGCAGGAACACAGGGATCAGGATCAGAGGCAGATGAACCAGCAGGGTCTGCTGGGACTTGGGCCATTGTAGGGGTCAAGGTGGAAGGAAGGGTCCAAGATGGAAGGGTCGAGACCCTCATCATCCCTCATATTTACACTGAGTATGACGTATGTGGGATGGAATACCTCGTTGGTCACGTTTGTGTCCGCTCCCCCGCATAGGTGCAGATACAGCACCCATGATGAGACAGTGGCCTTGTGATGATCACTTGTAGCAGTACACAGTGTCTGGAAAAACATGCTACTGGTTTCAGCAAGTACAGCCACTTAGAAGAGACTGAGCTGAAAAGTAAAATCACTGAATAGAAAATTAGTTCTGTTTAGCTCAAGCCAGGACACAAAATGGCAGGTAAATTTGGCATCTACAAGTGCAAAATCATGTACAGAGGAATAATAAGGATTGCTGTTGCTTTCTCTGTAATGAGATCTGAGTTAATTACCACTGCTTTTGAGAGCCAGTCTTCTAGGAATATCAGTCTGTGCTGATGGTGGTCATAGCTGGGATCAGTTTGTCTACTGGGACTGCTGGACATTGACAGGTGATCACTGCTGATTTTGGTCCATGAATCATCAATTGAGTTTTTTTAGAGATAGAGATAGAGATAGAATAAATATGAATATATATTCTACACAGAAACAAAATAAATATAAGTTAAACAAAAATGAATAAAATAATAAAATGAATAATAATTAAAATTAAATGTAATAGATATGAATGCATATTCTTAATGTAAATGAAATAAATAATTTTTATCTATGAAAATATATTTTTAATATATATCTATAACCATTCTTTAACAATGATGGGTTTTGGCAATGTAATGTAGCAGATGAAGCTTTTGCCTGATGCTCTCCTTGCAGGCTGTCATGGAAGTACAGAACCTGAGACCTTCATACTGGAAATTTCTTTTACGACTAACGAAGGGCAGGTACGTAATCAGGGGAGGTCACGGCTTGTCTAAACTGATCACATTCAGCTTTCTATGTACGTCATTCGCTGTCAACAGCAGAGCCATAGGAGGATGTATGGGCTAATTTCAGGAGTATTTAATTTGCTTTTCAAATGGTTTCCAGTTCACTTGAAATCCTTTTCTGCTGAAGCGACGCTGCTATTAGCACTATTTAGCAGATGAGTGTTTTACTTAAAGGTTTTTTTATCTTCACTCAAAAGGGTGGAATGCTTCTGGATTTTAATGGAATATAAAGAATCCAGTAAACAGCTGTACAGGTTGAAGAAATCCCTTAGTGATTGACAGCGTGGGATTACTATGTATTTAAAAGCATTGCTTGAAATGTCGGAGTATTTCCTAAGAAAACTTTGAAGACTCAGTAGTTTTTTATAGGACATCAATTTCAGTTGAGACAGGAATTTTTTTTTCTTGAAAAAACTAATGAAAAATTTTCACTGTTAATAACCATAAATTTACACTGTAATATCTTATTGGATATTTTTTCTCTTATTTGCTACAGGAATATAACATGCTTACCTTTTAAATTAGACTTTGCTGTAACTGATTTATAAAAATACAATTTAGTGAAGCATACACTATTATGATAATGTAACATGGGGCAGAAACAAGGCACCCAAATCTTGATGTATATTATTTTCTTAATGGGATTACAAAAGATAACGTTTGTCGTAATAGTAATTTTGACACTCTATAGAGGCAGATTTTTTTTTACATTTCATAGGTCTTTCATTCAACAATTTTCAAGAGATGGAAATAGATTGTAATACCTGGAAAATTGTTACCCATGTTTGGGCAGGCATGGCCGGATTTATGAGGCAGGGTTGAGAAAGTGGAGCAGTGTTCAGTTTGAATTTTTAATCAGATTTGCCAATTTTTATATATGTATATATACATACACACTATATGTGTGTGTGTATATATATACACACACGTGTACACACACATATATATATACACACGCACATATATGTATAGAGTGTGTATATATATATATAGTGTGCGTGTATATATATATAGTGTGTGTGTGTGTATATATGTATATAAATTGGCAAATCTGATTAAAAAATCAAACTGAAGACTGCTCCCCTGTATGTGTGTATATATATATATATATATATTTATACACACACACACACACACATATATACACACATACACTCACACACACACATATACGTATATATACATACATCTTAATTGCCCAAGATGAAAAGCTTGTGGTCTCTATAAACAATGCAGGCCATATTTCAAAGAGTTGGCTTGACTTCCATGGAGTGAAATTCTTTTAATAATTTTATAAATTAATATTTTTTAAAAATAAAATAATTTTTAATAGTTGTATTTTTTCTAAAGTGAACGAATAATCTCTCGTGTCTTTTCTTTTTCAGGTTTGCCCTCATGAACAGGAAAGTTTTAGATGTATTTGGTACTGAAGCATCCAAGAACTTCAAGGATTTCACACCCAAGCTTGACCCAAGATACACGGTTGTGCCACCAGAGCTACCACTGGAGTTGTCTTGAAAACGATGGTGTATCTTGGCATTGAATGTGATGAGCATTTTGTCCTGAAAAGTTAATTAACTTAACAGTCATATATATGGAGGAGGGCTTGGGATCCACTTCAGTATTATTTCAATGAGAAATGCTATTTACCAATCAAAAATACTGAAGCTTTGCATGAAGATGTGGCTTAGTGATTAAGCCCCTTCCAGAAGCAGAAAATATTTCTGGATTACTGTAGTTGGTTGAGAGTATGGTAGAGTCTTGAATGAATTAAACAAATGAATAATATATTTAGAGAAGTCAAACATAAATATGCATAATAATTTTCAAAAATTCCATAGTTCACACCAGTAGAATATGTCTCGGTCAAACTAAAAGTAATTCTTAATTTACAAAGGCATAGTTTAGGTCCAGAATTTTACCTGATCTTAAAACTATTGCAGTCGGGTGAATACGCCTCCTTGGCTTTCCAAATTGTGTCACTGATTTCTCTCAAAGAGCCACTGCCCACTCATTATTTCAAATTACAATATTTTTACACAGTGATGGTTGCAAAAGAAGGAAAAAGAAGATGCCTGTTAATTCAGAAATCACATTCCAGGGCTGTAAAATCCTGCTGGCAATACGGATAACAAGGAAAAGGAGAGGGCGGTGCGGGTGAGTGCTGCACCACGAGGGGCCGCGGGGTGCGGCTGCCGGGACCTGCCAAGTGGAAAATGCCAAAAACTGGCCGAGGAAGGAATGAACCGTCCCAGCCTCCGGGATGGTGCTGGAAACAGTTACAAAAGTGAAAAAAAAAGCCAAGAGCAACCAAAAAAATCCCCCAAAATACACCGAAATGAAATGTTTATTTTTTCAAGGGCTTGACATTGTCCCCTTGGACGGCGCCGGCTTGTTTGGCATTTCCAGCGTGTTTTTAAAGGGCTGACCCCTGAGGTCAGACTGTTAAAGGAGAGCAGTTTTGATGATCGTATTAATGCTGTTTTTCCCTTGTACTCAGTGAAGAGTGGTTTTCCATCAGTCCATCAGGCAGCCACGACTGGGGGAGTTACATTAAATTTAATACAGCACATAATAATTGCATTTTTACCCTGCGTATTTCTGCAGATAACAGTTTGCTTTCTAAAGTGAGACCTTGACATGCTAATGGCTTTATTTTTTTTTGCTTTTTGGGGCCTTTTTTAAATTTGAATCCATTCAGGTGATGTTGAATGGTGTTCTTTGCCCTAGAATTTTATGAAAAGATGAGCTATAGTCACATTCAACCAAAAACAGACAAGGTAAGCCAGGGACTGGAAATTGTAGCATGTTGTATGTGCTTTAAAAAGAAGAAAAAGAAGAAAAAATTCAGTGGTTTATTGGAATCCTTTGTCAGATGATACAGATTGTATTAATTCATCGAATCCTTGTCTTCTAACGCTGTAATCCCACCCCAGCCTTAAGCATATTTTAATTCTGATTAGTTCAATTTCTTATTAGTGGGCATACGGTGATTTTTATCAGATTTACAGAGATGTCATGGAAATTGTACCAATCTGTGCACAAAGTCTGTTCCTTATCAGCTACTCTGACTGTGATGCTCTATCACTGTCACTAAAGGTGCTTCATCCTCTAAAACCGCGGTCGTCCAAGGTTGTGTGGATAATGTTCTGCAAGCTAGGTTGGATCGCAGTATTTCATTGCTTGAAATACTATATTAAAGATCCTCAGAAGGAAAGAGAAGTTAATTCAACAAGAACTTTAAAAGGTTCATCATAGGATTGTAGTGTTTTTCCACTGGAATATGGTCTAAAATATTGGACCTTGTAAAGTCTGAGAAGTTATATATTTTAGGTAATATGTTAGAACTCACATGTTATATTATGGATACTTTCTAGCGTAACTATATACCATTGTCAAACTTCAAGATATCTTATAGATGGATTAATTTACTTCACTGGAATGACAACTGTGATTGTTTCTCTGAGTTTTGGAAAAGAAAATCCAAGTACTACATCTCAGCAGATGAATAACAGTTTTGTCTATGTTTTCTGGCTTCCAAAATTCACAGTCCTTTTTTCAAGTTATTTTCATGTAATATAAGAAGAAATTAAAAATTTTTAAATTATTTTTATTCAAATCCAGTATATGTAAGAGAAAAAAAAGAAAGTCCTAATGTTTTGCCCAATAATAAATAATTGCTGCTTTAAGAAGTGACTTTTTGTCTATGTTGTTACTGAGCTATGAGGGAAGCAATGCTCGGTGGTGAAAGAATGCCAGGAATGTGAGTGAGCATTGAAATTGTACGTATTTGGTACAAAATAAAGTCTTAATGCAGTGGAAGTGGAGGGGTAACACCACAGCCATTCAGCTTCAGTAATTATGCAGTATGGGTTGATGTTATTTAATGTTTCTTTTTTAAACAAAAGAAAGCCACATAACCAGTTGTGCCCATCACGTGGCTGGGCCTCGTGACTCAAACAGCACCTGATGGTGCTCTTTATTTTTTGGATCATATGACAGGTATAATTTACATTTACATAAAAATTTGAGGCAAGGATATTTTTTCACCCATAGGGAACCACTTCATGGTTGATTTTTTGTTCACAGAATCCCAGATTCCCAGAATATGAGGAGTTGGAAGGGACCTCGAAAGCTCCCCCAGTCCAACCCCTGCCAGAGCAGGATCAGCAGAGCAGTCACACAGGAACACGTCAGGGGTTTGGGTGTCTCCAGAGAAGGAGACTCCACAACCTCTCTGGGCAGCCTGGGCCATGCTCTGGCACCCTCACAGTAAAAAAGTTTTTCCTCATGTTCAGCTTGAACCTCCTATGCTCCAGTTTGCTCCCGTTGCCCCTTGTCCTGGCATTGGACATCACAGAGGAGAGCCTGGCTCCTTCCTCCTGACACTCGCCCTTTCCAAATTGATCCCTATGAATGAGGGCACCCCTCAGTCTCCTCTGCTCCAAGCTAAAGAGACCCAGCTCCCTCAGCTGCTCCTCAGCAGGAGATGCTCCACTCCCTCCATCATCTTTGTGGCCCTACTGGACTCTTTCAAGCAGTTCCTGTCCTTCTTGAACTGAGGGCCTAGAACTGAACACAACATTGCAGATGTGGTCTGACCAGGGCAGAGCAGAGGGGCAGGAGAACCTCTCTGACCTACAACCACCCCTTCTCATACACCCCAGGATGCCACTGACCTTCTTGGCCACAAGGGCACATTGCTGGCTCGTGGTCATCTGCTGTCCACCAACACTCCCAGGTCCTTTCCAGTACTCGTTCCCAAGCCTGTAGCGCTGCATGGGGTTACTGCGGCCCAAATACAGAACCCAGCACTTGGTATTGTTGGACCTCATTGTTGGTTGTTTTTTTGGTTTGGGTTTTTCTTTTCCTGGCACATGCCAGGTATTTTTCCACTTGCTAATTAAGAGAGGGCAGAAGAATTTTGAGTATTAATGCCAAGGCTTTACGCACCATGGCAGAGGCTGCTTGGAAATTGGGGCGGACAATTCATCTTCTCACACTGGTGGAATCCAATAGAGGTTTTTCTCACCTCAGCTGCCACAAGACATAATAAAATGCTGCCATGGCTGATGGGACAGTTCCCAGGACTGCTTGAAGGTTACAGAAGACCCGATCGCACAAGGTCAGGGACAAAAACAAGAGGGTTTTTTTGTATTCTCTTTTTATTTGTGAAGGCTTGCAGTCAAAGAAGTGGCAGATTGGGCTGGGGTAGATGGACCTGGCATGAAAGAGGCCCACATTAAAACACTGCTGCTTGCGCCGTTTTGATGCAAATGTTAAAAAAGTTCAGAACAACACACAAATGTTTTGCTCATTGTCTGTTAAAAAAAAAACTAATTAAAAACAAGAAATCAGGCAATTCCAGGCTTAGGTCACTTGTGATTATATTCACAAGGGGATTTAACATCTCAAACCGTCTTGTGCTGAGATGCTTTTATGTCTCCTTGGACACAAAATAATAATATCCTGTAAACAACTTGAAGCTGAAGCACAAAGTGGCCCCCTGGGTCACCCGGGACATCTGGGTCGTGCCTTTTGGCTGCCCAGAAGCCAGGTCCGGCCTCTTCTGCAGCGACATGGGGCAGGCGCTGGCCGTCTCCTCTGCTGTGAGACCTGGCAGCACCAAACGAAGCTTAAGCAGGTTTAAAACAAATTAAAAAATTAAAATTCCCCTCCCTGGCAGTGCCCAAGGCCAGGTTGGATGGGGCTTGGAGCAGCCTGGGCTGGTAGAGCTGTCCCTGTCCACGGCAGGGGTTGGGCTGGATGAGTTTTAATGTCCCTTCCAACCCAAACCACTCTATGATCCTATGAAATTAAGAAACTTTTCCCGCCCCATGATATGTAACTCAACCGGGTAACTCCTTGCCTGCCATCATTTACAGGAATTGAAAAAAGTGACTGAAAGATCAGCTCTGGATACACCCAAAGGCTTAAAAAAAGACAGCAGCTCATGTGGTGCAATTCTCACTCCATCGCCATAGCCGCTGTGTGGGTTCAAGACTGAATTACCAGTGCACAGCGTTCATCTGGAAGAGCTCTGGGTACTGTGTAATGGGCACTTGGACATAAGTCACCTCCCAGGACAGCCTGGTGGGGACACCATCAGGCCACTACAGCTCCTCAGGCACCAGAGGAGTCTTTGAGAGCTCATAGTCTGCCAGCAGTAAAATTTACCTTATCTCACCAGCTTGCTGAGGTATCCACCAGTTTCCCCACTCCTAGAAGGTGCCCTGGGTGATTTTCATGGTGTTCCTGGCTTATGGAATCATGGGGGGAAACCAGGTTCATTTCCAACAGCCCCATCTCCAGTAGTGCTTCCCAAAAAGATGGTCCTGTCCCTGCACCTTTACCTCATCCCTCCAAAGGTGTCCCTTACCCAGTCTCTGTACCAGCCCCATCATGCAGGGGATATCTCCCCAGGGGCACGGGCAACTCCATGCATCCTGGCTGGATCTCCAGGGCCTCCCATGGGGGTGCACTGGTCCCCTGCGTGGAGCTGATCTAGGCCTCTTGACTGCAGCCCTAAATTTATTATTAATTAATAAATTGATTTTTACAGCTGAGGTGGGTCTGTTGTCAGAGTGGCTTGGAATGAGACTCTGCTTGGTCACGTCTGGAAGGAGACTGTCAAGCTCTGTCGCAATCTGCCAACCCAAGTGTTTTTCTGCAATGAGTTACCAAATATTGGCTTGAAAGGAGCTTTTAATCACAGAATCACAGAATCTTAGGAGTTGGAAGGGACCTTGAAAGCTCCCCCAGTCCAACCCCTGCCAGAGCAGGATCACCAGAGCAGTCACACAGGAACACGGCCAGGCAGGTTTTGAATGTCTGCAGAGAAGGAGACTCCAAAACATCTCTGGGCAGCCTGGGCCATGCTCTGTAACCCTTACAGTAAAAAGTTTTTTCCTCATGTTCAGCTTGAACCTCCTATGCTCCAGCTTGCTCC